GTTAAAATTCACGTTTTCATCTTATGCCAATTTTCCGGGACGAGAAATTGCAAGATTGACAGAATCAAATTGCTCCGGGGGGGGGGGCCACACCGAACGGAGAACAATTTCCACGTTAACGCCTTGATAAATGACGTCGTAGGACATATCGCCCTATTTGAACATTTTAAATGGAATTATTATCGATGAAATAGTTCATTTCAAAACTTCCCTGTTTCTATATGCATAATGTACGAGTATTTTGAATCAATTTGAGTTTTTCTTCACAAAATTTTTACCTCCGATTGATAACAGCGTTAATATTGCAAGGTTTTCATATTACATTCACCCTTTTGCTAATTAAATTCACTTTTTAACAAATCAAATTCACTCATTTTACAAATTAAATTTATCCTTCTACAAATTAAATTCACCCTTTTGTAAATGAAATTCTTATTTAATTAAGCAAATTCACCTTTTACCAAGTAAATTCACCCGTTTGCACACTTCGCTAATTAAATTCACGGATTTAGAAATAAAATTGGTCCTTTGCATATAAATTTCACCCTTTAGCTATTTAATTATTTTTTAACTAATCAAATTCACCATTTTACAAATTAAATTCACTCTTTCGCAAATCAAATTCATCATTTTATCAATTAAATTCACCCGTTTGCAGACTTTGCTAATTAAATTCACTCATTTATAAAATAAAATTGATCCTTGTGCAAAACAACTTCACCCTTTTTCTAATTAAGTTCCTTTTTTTAGAAATCAAATTCACCTTTTGCAAATTAAAATTATCCCACTACAAATGAAACGCACCCTTTTGCAGGTAAAATTCACTATTTAACTAATCAAATTCCTTTAATCAATTAAATTCACCTTTGTTGTAGACTTTCACAAACGAAATTTAGTCTCTTTGACATCAAATTCACCTTTTTTAAATCAAATTCACTATTTAACTAATCAAATTAATCTTTTTACCAATAAAATTCACCCTTCTGCAAATGGAAGTCACCCCTTTAAAAATAAAATTTGCCCTTTCGCAAATTAAAATCACAATTTTAAAAATCAAATTCACCTTTTTTAAATAAAATTCACTATTTAATTAATCAAATTAATCTCTTTACCAATAAAATTCACCCTTATACAAATGAAAGTCACCCTTTAAAAATAAAATTTGCCCTTTTGCAAATCAAGTTCACCATTATACATACATATGGATTTCATTTAACGCGCTTATATCTCAAAGCAATTTCTAGATATTTGACCGTATAAATTAAAGGTTAATTTAAAATTAAAATAGTACTAATTTGAAATATAAAAGGTTAATTGAAATCTTTTTTTTTAATTAAAAATGGTCAACTTGAACGTAAACAGTTGTCTTGCAATGAAAAGGGTTAATTTGAACGGAAAAATGTTAATTTGAAATTAAAAAGGGCTAACATAAAGATAAATAAGTAGATTTGAAATTAAAAAGAGTTAACACTAAAGTAAAAAAGTTGATTTGAAATGAAAGAGGGTTAATTTAAACTGAAAAATGCTAATTTAAAATTAAGAAGGGTTAACGTTATAAAAAAAACCTGAATTGGAATTACAAAGGTTAATTTCAAATTAACAAAGATCATTTGACGGGAAAATGGTTAATTTGATTTAGAAACGCTATATTTTTGTAAAGCTTGACGGAGGAACTGAGCGTTGATTTTTTTTGGTTTTTGTTGTAATTACAGGGTGATATCAACTACATCGATATCTATTCTATAAACTGGTGGATTTAAAAATTTCCTACGTAAGAAAAACGCAGACTCACAAATTGTTCCTATTTCCTGGCTGTTTCGGCAAGCCTTTTAAATCTTTCTTTGCGACCGAGGTTGAATATTTTCAAATATCTGCTTTTGCGTTTGCCCCTTGATCGCGCGGTCAAGAAGTGTCTGACATTTTGCAAAGTAGTTAAGTAGATAAAGTAGTACATAAAGTAGCTTACTGGGTCCTTTATTATTTGCCATTTTTGCAGATAATACCCTGTCTAAAGGAGAACTATTTGAGTCAAATTGTGATCAATGGAATTAATCATAGACCGTGGAGTACAGTTCATTTGGTCATCAGAAGTTCAAAGGAGAGAGAATCTAAGAATAATTATAAATATTGGAGAATAACCCTCGCCCTACATTTCAATCGGTTCAATCATCTTACTTTGAAAGCCTCTTATTCAAATTTGGCTACCAACAAATTCTGTATGTCGCACTATCTTGTGTTATTGACAAGTTTGGGGATGTCAATAAACCGATAAATCTTGTAGCTTGTTTTTTATTTTAATTTATCTTGATTTGTTTAATGCGGTGTAAGTACGTTTAATAAATAAATTGCTTAGTCGCAAATCCACGGCGTTTCGATTATGTTAAAACAGCCTTACTCGACTACCGTGCGTACACGGTATAACCAAATTTCAGCCAGCACCCGAAAAAAAATTATGTACCGATTATAACGCATAGTTTAAAAACTGAGATCAACATTGTTGATATTTTAATGGGCAATTAATATTCAGTAGAGATGTTTAGATTCTGGAAAAATTAAATTAAAACGAGAAACCACAGTGCTACAAGTTTTTTTGTAATGATATAAAAAGGAGAACTTGAATTATCGTATATCAACTGACAGCATAAAAGCAGACAGTCTGTTATAACCTTAGGTTTAAAAAAAATGCTCGTGGGATATCGAAAAATAAAGTATTGGGTTGTCCGGAAAATAATGCAGGATTTTAAGTTTTCATTAAAAAAAATCTATATAAAATATTCTGTTTACGTTTACAGGATTACTCATTTGTATGAATGTCAACACTTATTAATCCTCTTCCAAATGATATTGTTTGTTTACCTCTGTAGCATTCCGCTACTTGGAAATAATTCAGTCATCCTTATAATGTCAAAGCGAGAATTTCGTACGATTTTCTTTTACGAGTTTAAACTCGGCCGAAGCGGAGCCCAAACGGCTAGAAACATTAACCAAGTCTGGGGCGAGGGTTGTGTTAATGAGTGCACTGTGCAAAGGTGGTTTAAAAAATTTCGGGAGGGAGATTTCAGCCTTGAAGATGAAGAAGGTCGTGGAAGGCCTTCCTCTCTTAATGATGATGTTCTGCGATCAGTGGTGGAAGAAAACCCCAAAACAACTGTTCGAGAACTTGCAGAGCAACTCAAAGTCAGTAAAACGACCGTCGCTGACCACCTCAAGGCGATTGGAAAAGTGAAAAAACTCGAAAATTGGGTTCCACACTCATTAAACGATCGCCAAAAAAATCAGCGCTTTGATGTTTGTGCATCACTTCTTTGTCGAAACAAAAATGACCCATTTCTGGCCAGAATTGTTACATGTGACGAAAAGTGGATTCTCTACGATAACACTAGACGTTCTGGACAGTGGCTCGACAAAGGAGAAGCTCCAATACATTTTCCAAAGCCCCCAACTCATCAAAAAAAGGTAATGGTTACGGTATGGTGGGCTTCATTTGGTTTAATACACTACAGCTTCTTAAATCCTGGCGAAACCATCAATGCTGAATCATACTGTAACCAAATTAATACCATGCATCAGAAATTGGCAGTAATGAAGCCCTCTTTGGTCAATCGGAAAGGGCCCATTTTGTTGCATGACAACGCTCGACCACATGTGTCACGTGTAACGTCACAAAAATTATTGGAGCTTGGCTATGAAACTTTGCCTCACCCACCCTACTCTCCGGACCTCTCGCCTACTGACTACCATTTTTTTAGACACCTGGACCACTACTTACAACACATAATATTCAAAAATCAAACGGAACTGGAAAATGCATTTATTGACTTTATCAATTCTAAAAATTCTGAATTCTACTCAGACGGAATTAATAAGTTACCAACACGTTGGGAGAAATGTATTGAGAGTATGGGAAATTATTTTGATTAAAGAACATTGCTTTAAAGTAACTAGTTTCTTTTTTTTTGTTTAATACCAAAATCCTGCATTATTTTCCGGACAACCCAATAATAAAGTGCGAAATGCTGGTACTGGACCTGACTTGATTGACCAGTAAACTTCCCACGGTACATATTAGAAAGGAAAACGTGCCGAATATAAAAATATCCACGATTAACAATATTTAAAGACGGTTCCATAAAAAAAAGTAACAAAAACAAATAGATTTTAGCAAAGCGGAATATGTTTGTTTGTTCAATGAGAGGTGTAACATAAAACTAAATATCTAGCTAAAATAAATAAAAAAATGTGTGAACAAAAACTTAAAAATAAACCAAATTGCAATAAATTATCATCATTAAAAAAAATCCATCCATAAAATGTTTAATTAATGAATAGAGTTATTATAATAAGTGTATAGTTACCAAGGTGATGATGGTTTTTGAAGTATTATTTTTAATATAATACGACAAATTCTTCTTGGGCAGTCTAGGTGTCAATTGTTGGCGATGACTGAGATACCACCAGCTGTGTTCACTCGTACTCACAGAGAACTCAGGGTGGTACCCTGTCATAGCCCAACGAATATCCTCCGGTTCTCCTTCGATCTCGACCACTTGGATTAGCATTTTCATACAAAAGGGATATGTTTTTTTTAAGGATCCTGTTAATGGTTCTTAACCTAAGAGCCCGCCCAAAGGGTGATGAATTTTCATCTTGTGAAAGGGTAGAAAAATGTAAAAAAATGTAATTGTGCACATTTTTTTAATATTTTCCGCCCTTTTTTAGACGAATTTATATTTTTTTGAACTCACGCCCGAAGCCAAATGCACAACTAGAGTTTAAACTTTAGAAGCTTCACTCTTCATCTATCGCTTCAGGTGGGTTTTTTAAAATTTAAATTTAATAAGCGTACAATTTTCTTTTGCCATTTTTTTGTTTTTAATTTTATGTGGCATTTTGATATACGACCTCTCGATTGGCCCATTCTAAGAGAGCCAATGATTAACATGATATAGATAAAATAAATAGATTATAATTTTTAAAAAAAATTTCAGAAATAAATAAGAGCCAAAAATGAAAGCTTGATAATTTCTTTTATGTTGTAAAATTTAACGAATTATTCGTTTGAACATGCAATTCAATATGTACTAATTAAAAATAAACCATTTTTATAAGACCAAAATATATTGCTTTCGGAAATATTATCTGACTAAATGAAAAAAAATTTAATTTTCTTAACTTGCAATTCAAATTCATGTTGGGAATATAAGCGAACAGTTCTGTCTCGGAATGTTATGTTCAGGAACCGTTCTCATAAAGTTTTCCCATTTTCGTTAGTGACTCCAGTCGATAAATATAATCAAAATTGGATGCGCATATCGACAGGAAGAGGGATCGGCGGACCCCCCGTCTTGCGAAGCGCGTTAGATTAAAACCAGCAATACTTTCCGGTCGGAGTGGAAGTGGCTTTCAACGATAAGGCGAAATGTTCGTACTCACTCTTTATCACCGCTTCGCCGTGTGTCGTATCAGGGCTGTAAAAAAAAATCATGTTAGCGAAATGGAATTATAAAAAAAAAATCGCTAATGTTCAAGCCTTGCGCTTGTACGTCAAGTGTAAAAAAGAATCGGAGAGAGTCTGACAATAATTTTTGCTAAAGTGATAGATCTTTTTAATAGATACGGCGATAAGGCGGACGGGGATGACCAATCCGACTACAGTACAAATAAGCTGTTCCTCGTTTTATATAGTATAGAATTGTATGCCGTCACCTCGACGGTTGGAAATCCGGTAAACCAACGAGGCAATAGACCTTATTACGGACATAGGACGTTTACTGCACGGTTTTTGGTGGCCTAGAGGAGGACCACTTGGTAAATCGAAACTGTTGCTCAGGCAACTGCTAGCCACGTCAGCAGTTCTATTTTGATTAACCAAGCACAATTAGTTAGTACGAAGTGACCTCTTGGTCAGTCAACTATGTGGACTTAAGATTATTAGTTTCCATTCTTCACCATTGTCCGTCAGACAGCGAGCCCGACAATGTAATGAACCGCATCCATTGACTGAAAACGTCATTTCACATTTAGTGATAATAAAACGAAAATTCTCTAGGAACCTTAGTTAATTTCAAATTCAACGACCATCAACAATTTTAAAATGGGTTAATTGTTTTAATTTCATCTGTCACATACTGGAACAGCTGAATATGCGAAAACGTCAATAATCCATTTATGAGTTAACACTAATAGTTGATAATCCGCCTCAGCCAGCATAGGACATCGCAACAACAGAGAACATGACACTTTTTTCTTGACACTTTTTTCTTCTTCCTGGTAACACCTACACAGCCTTTTTGCAGTTACGAGTATATACACCGTAGTCTGCTGTGTCCAGTCAGCAGTTCTTGGATGAACCTGTTTACAAGCTAGAATAAGATCCTATTGAACCGATTACTACTTAACCAATTGCCCAATGGACCGTTTTTTTCTGGAGTTTTGGAATGGAGCAAAAGTGTTCAAGGTCGATAGGTGTCTTCATCGAGCAGTCCTTGGCCAATTTGTCGCCTACTCGTTCCTCTGCCCTGTATGACATGGAACCAAACAAGGGTAATTTTGTTGTTGTTCTCAATGTCTGCAGTGCCATGATGCAATCCCAAACGGCTCTTGACTCCATTACAAACGAGATGGCTTCACTGCTGCTGGCTGTCCTGTAGATGGCTTTCATCGCTAGCACCTAACCTTCTTGTCTCCTCATCAATGTGTTCAATACTAGTTTTCGAATTGTACGTGGGAAAGACATTCATGAACGATGAAGACCTTGAGATCATACCCTGAGCCCGATACCATGCTCTACGAGCTCCTCTTAACGACTTGTATTTTATTATCTCGAGCTCCATACCATGTACCCGATCCCAAAGCTTTTTTAACGTGTATCTTCAGGGAGGCTTTTTCTATTCCAGGAGGCTAGGTCTTCGCACCAACAGAGATGTTTCGCTGTTTATTCTTCTTGGCAATATCTGTACAGGTTACTTCTAGTTCTATATGCAGTTCTGGTGTTGTTCTCATTGGAACAGTGTACAATAACTTGTCCAATAATTGATCCATTTGAGTCCAATTGATAAATGAATTTTAGTACTTTTTTCCAATAGATCAGCCTGACCCATGCCTTACCCTTTCCCAGTCTGCTTTCTCGAATATTTTGAACATGCTAGTAGACTATGCAGCCAGTCCCTGCATTACGATGTCAATTGTGTCTCTAGTCTCCTTCGATGAAGATGGTGGTAGATTCAGGAGTACTTGAAGGGGGGGTCGATCTCAATGCTCCATTCCAGGCATGCTACTTTCCGAGCAATACTGAGGATCCTGACCGTTCCTAATGTCCACCAAACCACCAAATAACCATTTTTGGATTTGATATCTAGATTTTACCATAATAGCGGAAGACTGGCCAATTCACAGTGTGAATATTACGGAATTTTGATATGGAGTTATACATTTTTCCTCGGCTGCCTGATCACGAAGCGCACACTAATTGTCACGGAATGCAATTATTGAAAAAAGTTATTGAAGGTTCAAATACAAAAGTAATCGCGGGTAAACCTAAAGCGTTCGAGAATATTAAAGAGCACGAATAAAAAGAAAACTTCCGTGCCAACGATAAATCAAAATGTTCCTTTGACCTTTTTCTCTTATCCTTGGCCTTTTAAAGGTAAAACCGATTGTACAATTTGGTTTCGTCCTTTACGAGTTTTCGGTACAACAGGTCGACTGCACTATTTTAATCTGGGGTTATTAACCAGGTAAACGAATAATAGTAAATCGAATGTTTTTACGCCCAGTTCAGTTGAAAAAGTGGAGTAGAAGGAGGTGAACTCTGCCATTTATATTTAATATTATTAAAAAACAAAATATCTGGTTAATACAAGCTTCCTAGGCAGAATATATTTATAATCACTTTCTTGATTTAGGCGTTTAAAAATCATTTCGTTATTTTTTTGTATAATCTTTCGTGTCTCTCATTACCCAAGCCAAACAGGGTTTTTTTCCTGTGGGAGAGGTAAGAAATTCCACGGGCGACGGTGTGCTGGAACGCACTGCGAACCTGACGCCATCGCCAATCTGGTACAGCAGTCGCCCTCCTTTTTTATTGTCATTCTATATCCAACGGTAAGTCCTTTGAAATAATTTTATTATATTATCATTTAACCCAGTACAACTCTGTAGGCTGTTTGAAAATATAACCAATAATTTTAATTAAAAAACAATAAAAGTGCATCATTTTTAAACATTTGATAGTTTTTGGCACAGAGGCCGTATTTCTAATACGACAACTAATAATTTTCCTAATGCATCTAATCAAAATAATCGCTGTCTGTCTGAAAATCCGCCGTTTTCACGTTCGTCTTCGAAGGTCTATCTCAACGATCACTCATTAGACCCACACTCTTTTTTGAATACACGATCGACTTCTCACGTTCGAATATATAAATTATGGGACTGCTGTATGCAGTTCAAGGCACTTTCCACATCTTTAACCGTTAGTTTTTTTCTTTAAATAAACGATGGTTTTTCCCAATAGATATTCCCAAAAATGATTTTTTTTCATATATTTGCGTAAATATCTCAGAAATGTTATTAAACCATACTAACAAGAGTAAAACTAATTTTTCTAAAACTAAAAAAAATTAGAAGGTTTTTGAAAAAATATTGTCTTTTGGTAAAGTTTTGAATTTTTTCTTCAGCTCGTTTTGGCTATTTTTTAAACTTCCCGTCTGGTCTATAAAAGCACTATATACACACAAATAAAAAAGAGAAATTAATCAAATATGTCCTCTAGTTTTAGAGAAAACGTGTTTAAATATTGAAAAAACAACTTTCAAGAAAAAGCGATTTTTTTAAATAGAGGTTTTTTGGTGTTTGAACAGAATTTACGAAAATTTTTATGCCTCGGTCGATACCTGGTATCAAAAATTGATTTTACCACGGGTGCAGTACTCCTTAATACAAGCCAACATCAAATATTTTATGTTTAAAAAAAATTCTCAAATTAAATGAAGAAAATGTTTTTTTATATATTCACATCTATATAATTATTAATTTGCACTGAAATTTTCACATCGTCTTTTGCATACGAGTTTAAATATTTTATAAAATTTTAAACTTGTTAAATTAAAAGACATATCCTTTATATTTATATTTAAATTTATATAATTTTTAATTGTAACTGTAATTAATTTTCATGTGATCAATTTTAAGAGCCAATTAAATTAATATTTTAAAAAATCAATTACCCAGGAATTTTACTTTATTAGTATATATTTCATACCATCTCCTAAGTTTAATGCTTTAAAAAAAAGGTTTAATTTGAATTTAAAAAGAAGTAATTTGAAGTAAAAAAAGTTAATTTATAGTTAAAAAGGGTTAATTTACGGAAAAACGCACTCGGGGGCGTTGGGTGGCATGGGCCAACCAGCCGTTTAAAATTAAAAGCTTGCCAATTTCAAAACTAAATTAAAATACTTGTATTTATCAAAATTACAAAAAATTCTTATAGGAAAACCTGCCGAATGACTTCTGATATATGGTTGACATATGATAAAGTTGATAGGCATTGAACTAAATTTTTAAATTGTCTACAAGCGATTAAAATATCATCCGAATATAATAGAGTGATGCCAATCCTTAGAATACACTCTGAACAAATTGAAGGACAATTCGTTTAAAAACAATGCAACCAAAATTGGAATGCAGCTCATAATGCATCCCTGTCACACTCTAGTTGCCACTACTGACGAATTGTGTAAAAAAACCTTTAAATATTCAAGACTTTTATAGATGTGCTATGAAAAACTGTTTTAAAGTCCACAATGAAGTCTTTATTTAGTCCTACTTGACAGGAGAAATAATCAGTTGTGGAATAACCAGGTCGGAAGGTCAGCCAAATTTGTATCAATTAAAATACATGAAAAGGTCATTGCCAGAGTATCAATACGATAAATTTCGTTATAGTCTAAAGGTAAGTTTAAATTAAAGTTAAAAAGTGGAAAAATTAGGGTTTTCCAGATGAAAATCATAAAGATAAGTATATAATGCGTCATCTGATGGAATGAATGTTTGTAGATCGTACCTGAGCCTTTTTTTAATCCAAGTCCTCCAGACATCCGTGACACTGGACACCACCAAGTCCCTTCCGAACATAAATGAACGCCCGAAAGCTTGGGGGGCCAGGAGTTGACACGAAACGTTTTAAATTGAGAAAAGCGAGCCGCTCGGGCAATTTGAATCACGTGGCGTGTAAAATTAGACCGAGTGTGCGATCTCTTGCGAAACACGTCAAGGGTACATAGTATATTTGGCTGTACATTTAAAAATAAAAATGAACGGAGCAAAGGAGAGTGGAAAAAAAGGCAATTTCAATATCGCAGCGATTTCACCTTCAATCTAAAAATCCTGTTCACAATAGGAAAAAGTTAGGAAAAAATAGAAAAACCAATTGGTTTCAATTGTTATTTGAGGATTTGATTTTCCAAAA